TTATCTTTATTGTTACACAATTTCTTTATTGGGTTTTTTCCACTCACACCTTTCTTCTTTCTCTCCGTCTGGATGGAGACTTTCAGATTAACTACATGAAAGGCAATTTACTCTCCTTTGTATGCTAACACTTCGAGGGTTACAATAACACACATTCACATTACTCCTTTGATTTTAAGAAGGAAGTGAGGGCCATAAAGCCCCTTTGTTCTCCCCCTTCTCTGCCTCTTATGGCAGAATCCAGAGAAGGCAGAATTGGGAGTTTCTATATTTGATAATTTAAAGATGAAATATAATTGGATTCTGACACTTCTGTTCTCCTGGCCTCCATCTTTCAAGCTCAAGCTGCCTCAAGTCTTCTACAGTTCTGGTTTGTGTTGATGCTGTTGGTTTAACTTCTCTCTAATTTGCTTTTACAATTGGAGAAAGCAGAAACACTGAGAAAATAAAAAAGTCCCTCACTGTTTTGGAAGATTTTGTTTCAAAAAAATAAACACCAGGTGGAGTTTTGTCTTGTAAGGTCATTTCTGCTTAGGGCAGGAAATCTTTGCCCAAGTCAAGCTCCCTTAAACAGATAAAAGAAGAGTATATTATCTTTTGGTTTCTGCTCAGCTGGAGATCACAGCATATTTCATCCTCAGCCACTGTTGCTTGGCCTGTTTCAGACTTCACAGGTTGTGTGAATTCTTTTCCAACCCACAATTTCTGGCTCCCAGCTTATGTATATTCCAGTTTGTTGTTGTTAATTGCGAAGTCGTGTCCGACCCATCACAACCCCATGGACAATGTTCCTCCAGGTCTTCCTGTCCTCTACCATCTTCTGGAGTCCATTTAAGTTCACACCTACTGCTTCAGTGACTCCATCCAGCCATCTCATTCTCTGTCGTCCCCATCTTCTATTGCCCTCAATCTTTCCCAGCATTAGGCCCTTCTCCAGTGAGTTCTTCCTTCTCATCAGGTGGCCAAAGTATTTGAGTTTCAACTTCAGGATCTGGCCTTCTAAAGAGCAGTCGGGGTTGATCTCCTCTAGGACTGATCGGTTTGAATGCCTTGCAGTCCAAGGGACTCGCAGGAGTCTTCTCCAGCACCATAGTTCAAAGGCCTCAATTCTTTGGCACTCAACCTTTCTTATGGTCCAACTTCACAGCCATACATTGCCACTGGGAAAACCATGGCCTGGACTATACGCACTTTTGTTGGCAGGGTGATGTCTCTGCTTTTTAGTATACTGTCTAGATTTGCCATAGCTTTCCTCCCCAGGAGCAAGCGTCTTTTAATTTCTTGGCTGCAGTCCCCATCTGAGGTGATCTTGGAGCCCAGAAAAATAAAATCTGTTACTACCTCCATTTCTTCCCCATCTATTTGCCAGAATTGAGAGGGCCGGATGCCATGATTTTGGTTTTCTTAATGTTGAGTTTCAAGCCAACTTTTGCACTCTCCTTCTTCACCCGCATCAAGAGGCTCTTTAGTTCCTCTTCACTTTCTGCCATTAGAGTGGTATCATCTGCATATCTTAGGTTATTGATATTTCTCCCAAGTTAGTTGTGGCTTATTCAATAAAGCAAGATTATTCAATAAAACAAGGCATGGATTAGGACAACATGTAATCCAGGTCACTTCTCTACAATCACCAACTCTGATTAAACCAGGGTTGTGTGGGTGGGCTGTGGAATAGGTCCCAGTTCCAGTTCCAACTGGACTGGTTGGATTCTTTGGTTCCAATGCTGCATGAAGCCAACTGTAAGGACCAACTTCAATCCCACATCTTAAGAAAGCAGAACTCTTGGAAACAATTTCTTCCAACTGGTACTTTTATTAAGAGTAGTTGATAGCAGGCATAATAGACAGGATCTGAGGGATTCTTTACAAATTGATACTTTAAAGTGTCCCTAAACAAACCCACTCCACAGTTCATCTGGAGGGATCAGACCGGCCAATCCCCAGGTGTTAAGTCCATTGTGGGAAAGGGAAGATAACATCACTCCGGCTCTGTTTGTAGCACGATGTTCCAGAGCTCTTCACACCTTCTTTTGAGGCCGGAGAAATAAACCAGGTTTCGGATGTTTGTATTTCTCCCCCCCCCCTTTTCCTAGCTGCCAGGTTAGGGAGAAGAAAGTTCAGAGAGATACATAGTGCAGGAGGCAATTTGTTACATTGTAATGGGCAGCAGACTCAGAGGCAATAAACAAAAGGTTACATTATAGCGCATAGAGGGAGTGAAAACCATAAGCCCGCAGGCATATCCCCCTCCCACTTGGGAGTATGGCAGAATCCAGGGGAAGGTGAGATTTGGTTTTAGATCAGAGGATATAGATAGATATGAAATATAAATGGGTTCTGACACCAACATTTGTTGAAACTATATTTTGTAAAGTGGTCTGTGATTTAAAGTTACAAGTTTTAGAGTATATGGAAACAAAACAAACTATATTACAGCTTAGAACAGCATAGCATGTCAAGCCAACAGCTCTGGTCTTGTACAAAGTGTGAAACCAGACATTCAGTTCTCTTCTCCAAATGAAGGCTTCCTCTCAGATATTCCCTGTGGCTATTCCTGGAACCCCCTGCCAAGTAATTCTCGGCTCCTTCCTGCTGCTGGACTTTGACTGCCTCTTTTTTAGATTGCCAACAGCCTCCCCCCAAACCCCAACCTGTCCTGAGGCTGGCAGGAAGCACCAAGTGGGCCTGCACAGAGTCAGAGTCAGCAAAGGCTTTTTCCAACCGCCTCAGGTACTACGCATCTCCTTGAATGAACGCCAGTATCTTTGTGGGTGGTCCAGGTCATTTTCTAAACCACAATGTGAAAAGACATTCCCTTGGCATCTGGGATGTTTTGATTGCCCAGTCTAGCCTCCAGCCATGGATTTTCAGGTGGTCTCTATCCAAAAACTGGCCTTTACCTCTCATTAAGGAGCACCTCAGAAACACCCAAGAAATATCCCCCCAAAGGAGATTTTTAAATCTACAGGCTTAACAAAACTGTTTTAACACACCCAGAGATATTTTTTTTCTTATTTAAAATCTATGGAAATATTTATTTATAAACTAGAAAAATTCCTTTTGCATGGCAAATTCTAGTGAACAAAAAAACTGGATCCAATCTAGGTTGGTCACCAGGACCAGAGGTTTAGTCTACTGAACTTTTGGACTTGTGATGGAGCCCATCATCAGGGAACCTCTCTCCAGCACTTTGGGCTAATCTGTGTGTAATGTTTATATGGTGCCTGATTGTGTGTGGCTTTTTAGTTGTTGATTGGGGTATTGATGGCCAACTGTTAAGTCATTGACTGTTGTGTTGCCAAACAGCATCAACAGGAATGCTCATTTACCACTAGCTTATCAAGTACTCAGGAGGCAAGGGCTTGGCAACAGTAACTAGTGACAGTAACTAGTGACTTTATAGCAGACCATCAACATCTCAACCAACAACTAAAAAGCCACACACAACCAGGCACCACACAAACACCACACACAGAATAGCCCAAAGCACACATTCTGGTGAGATAGAACTTATCCCTGGAGATGGGGTCCAGCACGAGTCCAAAAGCTCAGGAGACAAAGCTACTGGTCCCAGTGACCAACCCGGATGGATCCTGCAACATTATCCTGGGACATGTAAATTTGCCTTCATTCATGAGAAAAACTTGGGCTATATACAGTATTTGAAATCAAACTCTCCAATGGATGTCTTCCAGGCCTACAAATGTTCACATTTTAAATAACTATTTTTTAAGGTAGGGAAACCAAATAGAGTAAAACTTGCATCTTGCGATTTCCATGGATCTTTCCTCTGATTTTAATCTCACAATCATCCGTGTGTCTTGCAGCTATCAGTCCAGTGAGTTTTATGACCTGCTTTGGCTACATTTGTGTAATCTTTCTGGAATAATTTGAAAGCAATCGGAAAAGCTGATAAAATCCTGCTGGTCCATAATCCCACATGAAACCAAACCTGCCGCACGGTCCTCTGGCAGAAAGCAGATGAACTCAGGTGAACTCCCAGGAACTGTTTCACCATCGCTGGTCTTCAGGAGCAGAAAAAGGGGCACTTCTGGCCAGAATCTGTTTCCAGAACTGCAGAGGAGGAGGACTGAATTGAAGGGGTTTTTCTCCAGAGGAACAGGATCAGGACCTCCTGGAGCTGGAGGGGCATTTTGGCCATCAAGGGCAACCCCCTACTTAATGTAGGGAACCCAATTAATCCAGTGAAGGGAGGCGCATCAGATTTTCCAGATGTTCTGAGTTAGTGTCTCATCACATCTCATTCAGGCTGTTCTGATAGCCTGAAGCAGGCAGGATTTTTCAGGAGGTGTATCTCAAAATGTCATGCTTTCTTTTTTTAAGAATACCAACATTCAGGTCATATGTTTAGTCTTGAACATAGCAAGATCCCTTAGGCATGATGTGATTTTCCATCAACCTATCTTCCTCCCAAATACCTGCACAGCTGGAATTAAAACTAGTTTCCAAGGCATTGAAGGACTTATGTTCAGTGAACAAACACCATGCAATAAATTTTCATATAGCCTTTAAAAGAATCAGAAAGCTGACCACCACAAATAGAGAGAGACAGAAGTAAATTCAATAACCCCTAATAACTGATCCCCATGTCCACAGTTATGTCAGTTGCACTGTCTCTTGGATGTCTTAAGAAGCCAAGCAAAGTCAGCCCCCTTTCCCAAATAAATCCTCCAATAAGTAAATTGTCAAGAAATTGGAACCAAATCTCAACCGGTTCTTTCAGAAATAGAGAACGCACACATACTTAGTGGGATCAAAGAAAATGTTCAGCTATTCTAACATCTGCACCCAGAGCCAAATATATCAAGGTCTACCTTGTATTTGTCATCAGCATTTTGACACTCAAAGTTAAACTCTTTCTGATCACGGTGATTCTATTTAGTTACATGGAAAACTGATGATTCCAGTTCATTCCTGCAAGAGGTAAAGGCTTTGAAATCATTACCATCTAATAAAAGTAAACCAAACTTATACTCTACCTTGAAGAAAGAGCAGCTCCTTAGGCCAAATAAAAGTTGTGATTGTTTCCTCACTGATGCGTATGGCAACTACACCAAACAAAATCCAACAAGGATTCTATTCCGGCTGTTAACAATCTCAAATCTTGAAACTAATCTATTCATGTACAGGCTGCCCAGCTGCCTCCAAAAAGAAAAAAGAGGGGGGCGATAATGAGAAATCTCTCCTCCCCCAGGGCTGTGTGCTCCGATTAACAGTTGGCAGTCAAGATAAGCTGAGAGGAAGAGAGCGCAAAAGACAGCAAGGATACTCTTTGACTACTTCTGGGAACAATGTCTCCAAATGACTCGAGGAACAAAGCCAAGGAATTTGCAAAGGTACATCAGATGCCTCATTAGGAGACTGGAGATGAAACCGAAGGTAGACTCAAGGTGGCCTCTGAAGTTCAGGTACCATAGATACCTTTCCTGAGGATGGCAACTTAATTGAATCCCAGCGGGTGAGGTACACAGGGAGCAGAACAAGAAAACATTGCCAGAGACAGCTCCTCCCAGAACTAGCAAATGGTTTTAAGACCATCAACTCTCACTTTGGTTGGGGTGGGTGAGGGTTGACCAACAAACCCAAGTTCATTCTGCCATGTCACCCCTCCCACTGAGGCATTAATATATGCAATCTAATTCCTGCAGATTATTGTGTTATATAAACAAATCAGTGTTTTCTGTACTGTTATGTAGATCCATAATATTCAAAATAAGCAGTCCAAATCTGATTCAAATCCTTCCCTCAGTACAGAAAATCCCTGAGCGGACTCTGTACCAGTCCCTCAATTTGCCTTAGCAAACTATTTCTGAAAATGTTGCTGCCAAAACTTCATGGAAACTCATATAGCAATCAGGAGTCAAGTTTGAATTGAAAAACTCCATTCTAGATTTCTGGGATTGTTAATGGCAAAGATCTATAGCTTGGGTGGAAGCTGAGGACGGAGGTTCATTCTCCGAGCTTGGGGATAAAGCCCCACAAGCTCAGAGACCAACCTCCACCTTCACTTCTGGGATTTAGGTATTTAGATTCAATTTTCTGTCTGTATAGCTGTATCAGATCACTTGTCATGTACCATATATGTAACTGGGTCATTTGTGGATCATTTGTGTCCTGTGGCAACTTCAGAACAGGATTAATTGTCCCAATTACCACCAGGACATGAGGTTTAGCCCTGAACAGACCCATCGTGCATTCAACTAATTGCCATTGCTGGACCATCCATTTTACCAACACTTCCCCCTTCTGACACTGAGATGAGGCCCTCATCTTAAAAGGGGACTCTCAAGTTATTCTTGCCTATGATTTTTTGGTTTTTCACTCCCTTACCAAGCCACATCAAGGGAAACAAGCAGAAAAGGGTAGAAGTTAACTAAAAGAGCAAAGATGCCTTCTAGCTGAGCTTCAGGAATATAACTAGGTAGCTTTCTTGCAGCAGTACAGAAGTGGCCTGCTATCTCTTTCTCCCTGGATGTTTTTTCAACTTTTCCAACTGCTCTACATCCCTGGGGTTTCCCAGAGGTCCCCAATCTAAATACCAACTGGGTTTGACCCTTTTTAGCTTTTTCAAAATTTTGCAAGGGACACCAAAGTGTTGCAATTCACTGGCTAGATGGTTAAGACCTTTCCCTTAAATCTCTCCACAATGTCTTGGTCCCTAATAGTTCTGTTATGAAGGTTTTAAGTTTTTCCATTCTGATTCGAAAAAAGGGGAGCAGTAGAAAGTGACAGCCTCTCAATGTCCTTCATGTTGATCAGAAGAGCTGCAGCAGAGACTCAGTTGCCCTGAAGCATTCCCCCCAGCCCAGTGTTGAGAGGCCTGACTAAAAGAAAGAAGCTGGGATCCTTCTGATTGTGGGAACTGGTCCAATGATCCTTCCATGAGAAGATGAGGGTGTAAGGACCCACCCCACCTTGCATCTTAAGAAGACAGAACTCTTGGAATACTTCTTCCAACAGGTATCTTTATTGAGAGAAAATGGTTGCAGGCATTCTAGACAGGACCTGAGGCTCAAGCCCTACGGTTCAAGGTTTTAAGGGATCCCCAGCAGCCCACCCCACCCCAGCATCCTTCCAGCGACAATCCCAGGCATAACATTTCCACCCCCTTTTTCCTCACTGCCAGTGGAAGGGAGACTTCAGAGAGGAGTAGATGAAAGCTGATGGCCCCATTGTTATGATTTAGTCCTTTTGGTGGTATCCACATTCAATCCCTTTGAAGTTGTACCAAAGGAAGTGAGGGCCATAAAGCCCCTTTGTTCACCCCCCCTTCCCCTTCATCGTATGACAGAATCCAGAGACGGCAGAAATGGGGTTTTCCATAGTCGATAACTAGAGATGAAATATAATTGGATTCTGACAGAGGGTGAGATTCAGATGGCTCCAAGGATGCCTTGACGGCCATCAGGTGTTGCTATGAAGGAAACCTTGTGAAACACAGTCCTGAAATGAAACATTCCCTCTTGGGATCTTTGCAGCAGGAAAAATGTCCTCCACATCTAAGTGAAGCCCCTGGCGTGAGGGCTACTGCCGCAGAGTGGACAACACCTTCTGGCCTCCTACCCTCATGCAGGGAAGCCACCCTAGTAATATGGCATAATTTGGAGGGAGCAGGTTAAAAATCCCCCTCCCTTTTCCTTCATTTTTAAAGGGTTGGAAAGGGAGGGGGAATTGTAGAAGAAAAGCTCCATGAGGCAAAGTGTTCTTCTCCTATCCTTAAGGCTCCCAGACCTCCCAGTGGCTCCATATTTGGAAATGTGAATAGGAGGGATCTGCCCTCTCCTCACTTAGCATTCTCGCCTTTCACAAGTCAGGCTAAATCACTAAAATTGCTTTGGGGGTTAATGGTGGGAAGGAGAGCAGAAACGTTCTAAAGTTCACACAGATTTGATCATTTGGCCATACAATTTAGAAACAAACAGTGATTGCTGGTTGTTCAACTCTGCCCCAAAGGAAAATGTCTGAAGCCAGACAGGTGACTGTGACAGAGGTGAAGGGGCAGCTCCCTGGAATGGGATCAGAGTTGCCTTCCCACCTTCCCCACCCAGCCTTGTCAAAACAACAGCTGGCAAATTCCTTTTCCCTCGAGAACACCATATGACCATGAAATAAGTCAGAGATAATGGATTCGAAATACAAGATTATCAGGCTGTTTGACATCAATTGCACCTTTTCAAAGAATCATCGGGGGGATTGCAAGGTTTTAATGGCAAAGTGAAGGTTAGATATTTCAGAGATCCAGCTGATGAGTCAATGAAGGACTACAAGAGTAACTCTAATGGGAGTGGATTTGGAGAGCTGCCAACCAGACAACAAAAGAAAATGGGCTGCATCCAGCTGAGAGCACTAAGATATTCCCCTCCCCCCAGCCCATTTTTACATCAGAAAGTATGGTTGTAAGGGAAACAATAGACCTGAAATGGCAGTCATAGTTCTCTTGGTGCTGATTCTTCTCCAGTTGCTAACCTCAAGACAAACTCTGCTTTCCAGTTCAATATATTTCAAATTGAATAGTTTCCAAATAGACAGTCTAAATCTAAGTGGCTTCAAACCAGGATCATGGCTTCATTCTCACAATCAGGTGATGAATATCAATTAGGACATAATTTCTCAACCTTGGCAACTTGAAGATGGGTGAACTTCAACTCTCAGAATTCCTCAGCCTGCATGGAGTTGAAGTTCACATGTCTTCAAGATGCCAGGGATGAGAAACACTGAATTAAGATTTTTCTAATTCTAACACTTCAAGCATTCAGGAGACCTTATGCCATATAATATCTTTGTTGCTAGCCAAAAGAATATTCTGAGTGTACCATGCACCCTCCCATTTTTTTAAAAAAAAATCTCCCAAATTAGCCAACCACAATTTAACCTGGCTTGTTGGACAAGCAACAGTCCCCTGTTGCCCTCTCATGCCCCAAACTGAGCACACCCATCTTTGAAGCCCTGGCCTGGAATGGATTAGCCTTCTGATCAGCTGCCTTCCTTGCTCTTTCCTCCTTGCTCCTTTATGTCCTGAATTCCAGTTATTAAATGCTGCACGAGGGAACACAGCATTTTTCATCTACTTCTGAAGGGAATGGAGACCCAATGGGGTTAACTGTGGTTCCTTCCTTTGGGAGTGAACTCTCCATCAGTCTTTTTAATCATGAAGAAGCCTTAATCCTAAAAGTACTTTTGACAAGACAGAGTGGAGTTGTCTCAGGCCAGAAAGTTTGCAGAAATCATTTCCTTTCCTCTGCCACAGCTTCTAGTCACAGGTAAAGGCAACAAAGTCAATGCAGCAAAACAGAGAGCATCAGTGGCAAACGTTATGCTCCAATCAAATTGTATGAACTGTAAATTCAAAACCATTTTTTTCTGTGTGATTATTGTTATTAATGTCAGTTTGGTATCCATTACCCCATAACCACCTATTTCCTTTTGCTACTGCCTTGTTTCTGCTTGGCAGGAATATGTGATCTGAGGAGAAACTGGAGCTTGCACATCAATGGGGTACCTCCTCTTGCACCCAAAGAGCTAAAGGCATGAACCTGGTTTTGTCACTCTAAAGGAGGGTCACAGCAGGCCTGAACTGCACTTCCAAAATCTTCGTGCAGCAGGCAAGTTCTACCCCAAATTCCAGTAAGAAATAAGGGTTCCTGGGGAAGAATCATGATTTTCACAGTGGCAAAAAGCCCATGGATAGCTTAGCTCCAATGGACCAAAAGGTGCCCAAGAACTGTAAAGCTACAAAATCTTTTGCTGCAGTGTAAGAGCATGTAGGAATGACCTTGGGAGACATGGAAGAGACTAGACCAGAGATCCCCAACCTTTTGGGTACCAGGGACTGGTTCCGTGGAGAAAGGTTTTTCCATGGACTGGAAAGTGGGTGGTTTTGTGTGCTGCCTGCACTCCATGGACAGGGCTTTGCTTGTTTCTGCAGACTGGTTGGCATGCCATGGATCGGTACTAGTCCCTGAACCGGGGGTTGGGGCTAACCAACAGTCAATAAGATAAGCTGTGCCAACAGAAAGACTGTAGACTACTAAATATCTCAGAAGGGACCCTCCCTAAGTTCTCGGACTATAAAGGGGGGGGATAAATGTACTTTCTGCAAAATTCTGTGAATGTAAAATTACACTAAAGTGGAATTAGTTCATCTGGATGGCTTCCTGTCTGGACTACCTTGCAAGGCTAACATGCAGCCAGGAGAATAAAGTAGACTCAGCCATGCAAATAAGCCCATTGGTCAATCAACTTTGTATGACACGGTATCTTTAAGTGATCAATTTACCTAAGCCAACATCCTGTCCATGAAATTTTAATGTTGCTAGCATTTGGCATATCCTTGAGAGTTACATCACAGTCAGTCCACTAAAGAAAGAAGATGGCAAGGAAG